ATGAAGAGTGTTTCACAAACAAGGTGTGATCAGCTTGACTTTGCTTGAACCCATAGTTCAGCATAGCTTGAGCAAACCTTTCGAACCAAGCCCTAAGAGACTACTTAAGCACATAAAGTGACTTTTGGAACCTGCATAATTTACCGTTGGACTCAGCATCCACAAAACTAGGGGGAATATCCATATAGACCTCTTCTGCTAGATCTCCATGAAGGAAAGCATTCTTTACATCAAACTGATGAAGTGGCTAATCCAAATTTGCAACAAGAGTTAGATTCTCACAGAATTCATCTTAGCAACCAGTGTGAATGTCTCCTAGTAATCCACCCCATAAGTCTGAGTGAAACCTTTAACAACTAGTCTTGCTTTGTACCGTTCTATGGAACCATCACCTTTGTGTTTTACCGTGTACACCCACTTACACCCAACTGGATTTTTGTCTCTAGGTAACTCCACTAACTCCCAAGTGCCACTCTTGCTGAGAGCTTTCATCTCTTCCATCATGGCATGCTTCCATTCAGGAATAGAGAAAGCATCCTGAAAATTGGTAGGTAGACTCACAGAAGACACTTTAGACAGAAAGGCTTTATATGACGAAGACAGATTAGAATAAGAGACATGATTAGTAATCAGATGTTGAGTACATGACCTCATCCCCTTCCTATTAGTAATGGGAACATTAAGATATGAAAAATCAAGAATAGGAGTACTAGAATCAGAATTACCTGGACTCTCAGGACACTCATCCGGAGAAGAAGTTGGCAGTAGAGGAAGGAAAGTCGTCTCTTGCATCCAGGTGACTTGTTGTCTGTCCTTATCCCTGATATAAACTTTGCCTGCCTTTTCTTCAACAACTGCTGGCTCATCATCCTCTATATGGTCAACCACAGGCGGAAGTGGAACACGAATCTCTTCATCCCCTTGAAGGGATGATGGTGATACCGGAGAGGACGGAAAGTAAGGCCGAGACTCAAAGAAAGTGACATCCATGGAGACAAACCATTTGCGAGTGGGAGGATGATAATACTTATAACCTTTTTTGGTAACAGAATAACCCAAAAAAACACACTTAATAGACCTAGGATCTAATTTACCACGAGTAAGTGAATGATTATGGACAAAGCAAACACAACCAAAAGTCTTAGGAGAAATGGAGAACCCAAAAGTGGTAGACCCAAATAAAACTTGAAGAGGTGTTTGTTTTTAAAGGACTTGGATAGGAAGATGATTAATCAAATAAACAGCAGTGAGAACCGCTTCCGCCTAATAGGATCGAGGAACCCACATCTCAAAGGATAGACAACGGGCGACATCAAGGAGATGGCGATTTTTGCGCTCAACAACACCATTTTGTTGAGGGGTATTAGTGCATGAAGTCTGGTGAATAATGCCATGAGTGGCGAAGTAAGTGACAAGACCAGAGTCGATATATTCTCCCCCATTATCAGAACGAAGAACTTTAACAACCGCCCCAAACTGAGTACAAACCATTTTATGAAGTTTTGAACCACAAAAACACCTCACTTTTATCTTTCATCAAATATACCCAAGTGGCCTTGGAACAATCATCTATAAAGGTAACAAACCATTTTTGACCGGTTAAAGACACAAAACGGGATGGACCCCAAACATCAGAATGAATCAAAGAAAAGGGAACTAAACTTTTATTAATAAAAGGAGCAAAAGAGGCTCTGTATTGTTTTCCAAGTTGACAAGACTCACATTGAAAATCAAACACATTATTTTTCTCAAAGACAGAAGGAAATAAATGCTTAAATAATAAAAAAGAGGGATGTCCTAAGCGACAGTGCCACAGCTAAATGTCGTCCTTGGTGGATGGGAATTGAATAGTTGAATGGGCCAGCTTGTCTGTCTGATCCAGAATGTAGAGACCATGGTCCTCTCTACCACTGTCAATCCTCTTTCCCGTGATAAGGTCCTGAAAAAGACAATGATCAGGAAAAAACGTCACGCAACAATTTAAGTCACAGATAATATGACTCAAAGATAAAAGATTAACACTAAAATTGAGAACATGGAGGACAGAAGACAAAGGAAGGGAAGAGGTGGTATGAATTAAACCTTTCCCTGACACACATGAAAAAGTGCCATCAGCAATACGCACTTTGTCCTGACCAGAGGAGGGGTTATACTCTGAAAATAAATTAGAAGAGCCAGACATATGGTCGGAAGTACCAGAAACAATAATCCATGGTATAGGCGTATGAGATAGCAATGCACATTGAGAGGAAGCCAAGTTACTTGAATTGGCAAAGGAAGAAGAGGGTGCACCTGGAGTAGAAGTGGAGGCTTGACGATCTAGCAAGTGTCGAAGAGCAATTTCAAAATCCCAGACAGAGAACCCGAAACATCAACAGCAGGGGCGACAACTGGAGATGAAGATTGTGGCTCAACCGTGTCTGAAAGATATGCCCGAGCATTGGCCCCTCGGCCTCTAGATGGACCAGACCTACCCCCTCGAGTACCAAGACGGTCTCCTCGGCCACCAGAAGGAGTCCCATGCAGCTTCCAACAGGTCTCTCGTGTGTGGCAAAGTCGACGACAGTAGTCACAGAAAAGATTATCCTTCTCAAAGGAAAGATGAGATCCATGAGTCACACGGTCGCCATCGCGAGGGGGTGCAGAGACCAAGGTCGAGCGATCAGGAGTGGTAGAGGGAAGCATTGCAAAGCAGCAACTCTCCTTATTCAGCACAAAAGCAAAGGCTTTCTGGAGAGAAAGAAGCACATCCATGCCAAGGACTCTGTTCCGCACTGGATCATACTCCACATTTAGGCCTTCCAAGAACTTGAAGACCCGCTCTTGTGCCACAAACTTCCAGTAACCCATAGAATCAGTGGGACAGATTGGTTTGTAATCCTGAAGATAAGCAAGTCGCTTCCACCCATTGCTAAAGAAGGTAAAATACTGAAGGATAGTCATCTCACCTTATACCGACCTTTTAATGGAGCGACGTAACCCAAAAGCCTGGGAGAAGTTCTTCGGGAGTAAGTAGTAGTCACAACCTCCTAAATATCCTGCGTAGTGTCCATAGAGAGATAGCCCTCTCCAATCTTCGGGACCATAGAATGGATCAACCAACCCATAATGAGGGAGTTTGTGATCTTCCACTGATCATAACTCGGGTCCGTGGTGATGGGTGCCTGTATCCTGCCATCAACATGACCTATCTTCCCTCTACTCTTCAAGAAAATAGTCAGACTCTGCAACCACGCTAGATAGTTTTGACCATTGAATAGAGACGTGGTGATTTTTAGACCAAGGTTGAGATTATTCGTTATAGTAGAAGGTAGAAAGGATCTCTCGCTCTTGAGCGGCTGAGAAGTTGTTAACTCACTAGTGAACTCTGCCATGAATATTCTACTAAGAAACCTTCAACCTCAGGGCCAATCACAAACCTGGAAGATAATAGTAGAAGGAAAGACACAACTCACCTTATGAAAGCATAAAGAAGAAACGAAAACTATTTTTTTTTACATTTTTTTTTTTTTGGTTTTGTTTTTTTTGTTTTTTTGTTGTTTTATACAGAGACGACTAGTTAAATGCGTAAGGCTAGCCGACCAACTAGGGAGCACCGAAGGCCCTAGCTGACCACCTAGGAAACCGCGACAGCCCTAGTAAACAAGTTAGGGCTGTCGACGAGCCTGGGCAATCCTGCGATGGAAGAAAGAGGTTGCTGACAGACCCCTAGAAGGCTAGAGGGGCTGTCGACTAGGCCTAAGAGGCTGTCGGGAGGCACAGAGAGGCTGCCGATCGACTGAACAAGAGTGTGGGAGGTTTGGATTTACTGTAGGGGGCCTGGGTGATAGGCTACAGAAGTCTGAGAGGTGTGACTGCCGACAGAGGTATGGGCTAGGGTTTTGGCTCTAATACTATGTAATTTTGAAGAAGAGAAAGAGTTAGGGAATGAGTTAGACTTCATTCCCTTTTATATTGATAATGATGAATAATTACAGGAGTGCCATAAAGCATAATATAAGGAAGCACAATCACACAATTACGTATTTCCTATTTTAACAAATTTGCATGTTTAGGGGTATTTTGGTAATTTCACAACTTTCTGGACATGGGGTTATAGGGGTCGCCCATAGATCATCTTGTGGGTCACGTTATTTAATTAGTTTTTTGTTTATGTTTTTTATTTAGTCTTAGATGAACTTTTGAAAGTCAAAGATTTAATAGTTTTCTTTTTTAGTTTTAGTTGATTTAGGAAGTCTCCTAATTTTATATAAAGTCATGTAATATTTATAATTTAATATACGTTATTTAATTAGATTTTGGTTTATGTTTTTTATTTAGTCTTAGATGAGCTTTTGGAAGTCAAAGATTTAACAGTTTTCTTTTTTAGTTTTAGTTGATTTAGGAAGTCTCCTAATTTTATATAAAGTCATGTAATAGGTATAATTTAATAGAGTTAATATTTTAAAGAATTTTTAGAGCTTTTGAAGTTTCTTTGTGGATTGTGCAATACAATCAAATCCTAAGTACGATGCCTAAAGGATTTTAGGAGTGATTCCTAGACCTATCTTCTCTTTTCTTTCTTTCTTTCCTAAATTTCAGCGTTTTCACAGCCCCTAAACAGCCCTAACAGCACTGTCCTACGTCACATAGCTTCAATGCAGCATGAACCAAATTTACACATTGATATATTTGCTGAACACAAAAAAGCTTGCTACATAGCAAATACACAACATCCCAATGCACAGAAAAATTAAAGATTAGTCCCTTTTTTCACAAGGTTAAACCATAAAAGAGAACTCTTTTACGATCACCATTCGTTGATGTGTGACATGTATCAAGGAGGTCTTCAAAGATGATAATCAAAAGAGCACTTATAAAATCAAAGGAAACTTTCAATTTTGAAGAAAACTTTTGATTTGGCCCCATTCGCAGAACATTATTTTAGTGCAGTAAGCACACCAATATAATTTGTAGTAGCAAAAGAAACAACATTTTGATAAGAAAGAAAGTCACTGCACCTTGAGTAGCTGAAGATCTTTCGTCAACTCAGGGGTGAGGGTTTGGGCAGGCATGTCAAACCTATTTATAAATATACAACCAACCAACCCACCCACATCACAAATACTCAAAAAATTATTCACAAAAAGTTAAAAAAAATATAAAAAGTTAGATCCGCATGTACCAATTCTTCCCAGCAGTATCTTTGACTTGCTTCCTCAGTAATTTGTTCAACTTTTTAGGGTTGTTCGGTGGAACAAACAGGCCGTCTATGAGCTCTGTGTTAGATTTATACACCGCAGCACTACTACTACTACTTTCAGGCAAAGTTTGAGGAGGCTTATCAGACCCCTTTTTGGTTCCAGATGGAAGTGGAGGCAGCTTCGGTTCCCATGAAAGACCGATCACTGGTTTGCTTTTAGCTGCTTCGGCCATTCCTTCTGATTTGAGCATCTAACAACCCAAGAAACAATAATTTCTCCCAATATATACAAGTAATGTGATGTATATGCTCAGATAGTGCTAGAGGTGAGCATGGTTCGATTTAGTTCGGTTTTAAAATAAACCAAGACCAAGCCACTACTTACAGTCCCATAAATTTTTGAACTAAACCGAACTATGAAAATTTTGTAACCAAACCAAACCGAATCATGAAAACGCGGTTTGGTTCAGTTTGGAATCACAGTTTTTGTAAAACTTGTCATCGTTCACAATATGATCGCAACATACATTAAATAATATGCTATCATTTTACAAACAAGAATTGTTTAAATGATTCTTTAAAACTAGTTCTAGAATTATATAAAGGCACACTTGCAAGAGTAGAGGGTTAACAACTTATAAATATATATGGGATACTAAAAAGGTGCTCGAGTGTCTACAATAAATAAGCTGTTCAGTTTTATTTCATACCAGAACCATAACTATGAAACCACAGACTAAACCATAAAATACGGTTCGCCTAACGGACCGAACCAAGCATTGAAGAAACCAAACCAAACCATTGGATTTGGTCTGGATCGTATAGTTTTGTGGTTTTTTTGATTTTTTAACTCAGCCCTAGATAGTGTGCACACTTCGAGTTCAAGCACGATGGCTAGGGTTTATTGGATAGGGCTTTCGGAGATATTATGGTTTGGCGAGCAATATGTGCTGGGGTTTTTTATGGGCTCTTGATGGGCCTCATTTAACTTCCAACTAGTGTCCAATTTGCCTAATAAAATGAAGGGTAAATTACACTAACCTCCCTTGAGGTTTAAAGAAAATACAATTAGCTCTACAATTTTGACATAATTAGACTAACTTCCCTTTTAGTATGGTTAAAGCAATTGAAACTAATGTCAATGGTGAGTAGACTTCGAAATGAACAAAGACAAATATAAATTTCAGTAGGAAAGATATGATAACATCATTTTTTTCATTCATACAGCTAACGATTTATTGCTGAAAAAAGGCCCAAGTGTTATGTAAATTATAACCTTGAGGGAGGCAATTGTAATTATATCAAAAGTGTGGGGCTAATTGTATTTTCTTCAAACCTCAAGGAGGTGAGTGTAATTTACCCTAAAATAAAATACTAATGGCCTATTTGGTAACATTTATATTTATAATTTTTCAGGAATTACAACAACAACAACAACAACAACAACAAAAAAAACACTCGGGTTTTACCTTGTTAACAAATCAAACCCTAAAATTTTAATTATTTCAATTTAGACCCTCAACTTTAAAAATTGTATCAATTATGACCATCTGTTTGTAGCTGTTAGTTATAACTAATAGAGGATGGGCAATTTACACAATTTAATCACTGTTTGTCCCTTCATTACTATTGACAATCACCCCTTATCCTTACCGTAACCCATCACCACCCTTCTTTTTCCCAACTCACCGCCACTGCTCTATCCATTTTTCCCATCCATTATTACTCCTTCCCTTCCCTAGTCTATAACCACCACCGCTGTCCAACATCACCAACAAAAAGTGGTTAAATTGTCTAAATTGTCCCTATTTTGTTAGTTATAAATGACAAATGGTTAGAATCTGTGAAGCATGGGTGCAGGGATAGATACTGGTACGTGTACGTTATGGGTACACCAATGTGGCAAAATCTTAAAGAAGTGGGATATGGATACAACTAGGATACGTCAATAAATTTTTTATTTTTTTAAAGTTTTTTATAATGCTTTATGAAAATATTTTAATTCAAGCACATGCAAATCTTTCACTTCAAGTATATAACATATAGAATAACCTATGTTGCACGGACATAGACACATGACACAACACGACACAGACACATTAATTTCCAAAAAATGCCTCACACGACATGCTAAGGACATGTTAAATATATATTTATTTATGTATATAATATTCGTCACATATATAAATATTTTATTTAAAGTTATAAAAAAAAATAATTTAACACCAATTAAAAATATAAACATTCAGCTGCAAACACGCAAAAATGAACATTTAGCAAAAATATAAATACTTTATTTTAACCATTCGACTAGTAGGCGGAAGCCAGTTGTTTGACCATTTGACTTCTAGGTGAACCTTTATTGGCTTAGAAGGTGGAAAGTTGTACACCCATTTCTTTTCTAGGAATATATAAAAACAAAAACAAAAACAAAAACAAAAACAAAACAAAAGGAGGGAAATCAAAAATTTGTTGCAATAGCAGGAAGCTTTCTCTCACTCATCGCAGATGGAAAGCTTGTTCGTCTTCCCTCTCTCATCTCTCGCTCATCTCTCTTGCAAAGCTTGTTCGTCTTCCCTTTCTCATCTCTCTTGCAGCTACAACTTTGAATAGTTCTCGATTGGTCTCAAACATGTTGCCTGAACAGATCTTCAATTTTCGGGTATTTCATCTTCTTCTTCTTCTTCTTCTTCTTCTTCTTCTCTCTCTCTCTCTCTCTCTCTCTCTCTCTCTGTGTGGCTAGGGTCTTGAACGTGTCCAGGACGTGTCTAAGATGAAAAGACAAAAAAAAAAGGGACGCGCCAGACTGAGTGTTGAACACATGTCCACTGCGTGTCCGACGTGTGTCAGTGTCCGACACTGATACATGGGCTTGGCAGACGTGTCGGTGCTTTCTAGAGAATAACTATATATGTGTGTCTCTGTGTGAAAATCAACTAATCAAATAACAATTACAAAAACATCAAGATTATGAAAGTAGCAATGAAATAAATACACCAACTTATGAACCCTAATATCTAATTGTTTCTTTCTTTTTAGTCTTCTTATAAAAGTATTAGTTTTATTTTATTTTATGTAATTTTGATTGTATATAACAGGAAGCAAAAGAGGGCAAATTCATGAGTAAAGGGCAATGGTTAGTTACGAATTACTTGAAGGTTTTCGAAGATGACTAAAGAAGAATAAACGGCTGAATTGAAGAAGAGGAACCAAGGACGCTCAGTTGTTTCCACTGAGAATGGTTGCTACAGAGGAGAAACGAAAAGATCAAAAAAAAAAAAAAATCGAAGAAGACGAGGAAGTGTCAAAGAAGAGGAATTGAGAAAATTCATTGAAAAGTTCACACGTCGCCGTCGTCTTCGAATGAGAGTTCTAATGTCTTCGAATGAGAGTCCAGAGAGGTAGCTCAACGGAGTGTGGTTAACCTAATTTGTTAATGTTTTCCATTATTGCAAAACCAACTAAAATTTGTAAGGTTTTCAAAATGTGAACAAATTAATTGCTTCGGTAGACTAAAACTTTTCAAATAATGCAATTTTTTCCCCGGCATACCTATCCCATACGATACCCCTGTATACCCACAATGTACCTAATGCATTTAACATTATAGTGGAAAAAAAGAATTTGCTCTCTATGTTCTCTCTCTCTCTGCTCTCTCTGTCTATTTGCTTTCTCTGTGATGATTACTCTATGAATCTTAGCACACGGATGGGTTGTCTCTGTCTAGTCAAGCAAAGGAGGGTGAATTGGTTATATCTGTGTGTGTATTGAGTGCTGTTTTGTTTTATTGAGAAATAGTATAGTTGGTTCTCATGGTCTGAAAGTTGTTCAAACCTTGAAAAGGTTATTGTGGACTATGCTTCAGTACTTCACCTCTGAAATCCATTAAAGCTTTTGATTTTCTATTTTATCGGCCTTCAATACAATGATTTTGATTAATTTGTAAATCTGAGAAATAGATTTAATGGTGGTTTTGATTAATTTGTAAATCTGAGAAATAGATTCAATGGTAGTTTTGATTAATCTGTGAATCTGAGACATAGATTTAATGGTAGTTTTGATTTTTTTTTTTTGATCGGCCTTGCGGGTCTGTTAGCTACTATTGCTCAATAAGAAAAAAATGTCTAATCTGTTAGCTATTGTTTGGGTATAAAAAATGTTTGAGAAATCTTAACTATGTGGGGAAAAAATGTTTTGGCTGAAATATTGAGTATTTGAGTTTTTATTTATACTTGTTTATTATAAACCGCCAATCCACCTGAATCGCCAAGTCAAAACCGTCATTCTTTGCCAATTGAACCGCCGGTTTTTGATAAACAAAACGCCAATTTCTAATGTCAATTTTGTCAATCCGCCACCCGCCGTGCGGTTTCTATTTTACCCCTAAACCATACCGACCCACACCACGCACACCCCTACTTATCAGATTCATAGAGAAGAAAGAAGCAGACCTCACTGCCGCCGATCGCTGTCTCGCCTCACCTCTTCTCTTGCCACCGACTGCCGTCGCCCTAGTTCTCTCTCTCTCTCTCTCTCTCTCAAATCTTTTGAGTAATATATTGCTTATTTACTCTCTCTCTCTCCATATTTTTGTTTCATCTTCATGAATCATATCAATGTTACCTTCATATTTTTTTTGAACTTTTTTTTCCAACCTTTTTATGGTTGTGCACAGATTTTTACTCTCTGTATTTTAATTTGATTCAATCATTTTCTTCAACCCTGCTTCCCAACTTTTTATTTTTTCTTGAGCTTTAGTTTAGCTCACGTTGAGAGGATTTTTTTTTTATTTTTTTTTTGGGCTGATTGTTTTGCTGGTTTTCTTGTTCAATGAATTATTTACCTAAAAAAAACAAAAGAATGAACATGGCAAATTTAATAGAGTGTTTGGAACAAATTTATATTCTTTAAGTTGTCGATTATATATTTGATTTCATTTTTGTTGTCAGTACTTTGATTTATGTACTTCCAAATCTATGAATAGTTATGTGTAACATTGTGTCATATGTCTTCCATTTGACACTTTTTTTTAGGGTTCATTGTAAATTTGTATTTTGTAATAGATAATGGACGAGGGAAATACAAGTGATGAGTGCTTTGGATTGTTATTATAAATTTTTTTGGATTGTTGGATTTCTAATTTTTTTAGTTTGTCAATGTTGAATGTCAGATGAATGGACATCTATTTTAATTTCGACTGTTTTAGCTAATTTATAAATTAGGTTTATTTTCTTTTTTAGATTTTATAATTTGAATTATGCTTTTTCTAATCCACTAATCCGCTCGAACCGCTAAGTCAAAACCGCCATTATTTGTCAATCGCTCCGCCAGTTTGTGATGGAAAAATGGTGGTTCCTAACACCAAATTCCGTAGGTGGGATGAGTATGCCTTTAGTAAAAGAGAGATTCGGGATAAGGGGGGAAAAAAAGGGCGGAGGTTAATAACGCATGATTTATTTTTATTTTTTTAACTTTTATTCTTAATACATGCTTTAATATCTTTATTGTAACACTCCACATACTTACTAAACTAATAAACACAAAACTAGATCTCGTTTTTTCACTTTTTATCATATAGAATATATTAACACACATAAAACATGTCTAACAAGATTTCGATTCTTTGCCAGAAACCAATAAAAAATCATTCAAAATATGCTTTTCAAATCCATGCTCTATTTTTCCCTATCATTTCAAACAAGATGACATACCCTCTATGCATAAGCATTGATTCCAAATGATAAATGATTCCACACACACACACACACACATATATACATCAAACCCTCTAACGCTACATAGAGATGAAGATTCTCAAAAGATCAACTCAATATACGAAAAGAAATGCAATGTACAAAAAGAAATTATAGACTAATGCTATAGCTGTGTAGGCGAGTGAGTTTTTGCTATCATTTGATCATAATATTACGTCTTTTTTACGATTCCATGAGATATGTATGCATCATATTTCGTTCATTTGTAGTTTCTATCACATTTTTAGTGACAAGTTTCTGAAAGCGTAATCTCCTTTCAGAGGAATTAGTTATCTGACAATGCTAAAATCATTCCAATTCTCTATGCATTCTGTTAACTTTACAAGTGATTTCTGTGCCAGAACTTGTTACAAGTGCTTTACTTTGTTTTTTATTTTTATCACAACTGCAAACATTTTCAAACATCTTTTTAATTTTCCATTCCTTCAGTAGGTTTTCTACCATTACAAGGAAAACTAGTTCAAATTTTAGTTATTTTCTTGTGATATTTCTAATCACTCAATCACTTGATGTGTATTCTCTCCACCCAGTACTCTGCCATCTGGAGGTTCCAAGCTTGGGCAAGGCACACACAATGCTCACATTAATTCAATATCTAACATTTTTTTTTTTTTGGTTTCGTTTTGAGAGGGGGGGGAGGGGTCTCTGCAACCCCAAACCCAAAAATCAGCCACCTAAACAACCTAAAAATCAAGCTCAAACCCAAAAATCCAAACTCAAACTCAAACCCAAAAATCAGCAACCTAAACCCATAAGTTATACATTGAATTCAAGGTTAAACCCAAAAGTCAGCAACCTAAACCACAAATTACATGTCTTTTTATCAACTCAATCAAAGGGGAAAAAAACCTAGTCTTAAAACAGGAGGACCACACACACACACACACTCACATATATATACATCAAACCCTCTCACGCTACACAGAGACAAAGATTCTCAAAAGATCAACTCAATATACGATCACAGAGGCCGATTACTCAATATACAAAGATTCTCAAACGATCAACTCAATATATATACAGAGAGAGGTATCTGTATATCTTCTATCTAGAGAGAGGGAGAGAGATACCTCAGTGCAGATCGATCACCGTTCAGTGTAGATCGATCGCCGTTCAAATGTGTAGATCGTTGGTCGTTCAGTGTAGATCATCGGTCAAAGGTTCAGTGTAGACCGTCGGACGATGGGTAGGGTAGAGAGAGAGAGAGTGTCTCTACGTGTGTGTTATGTTTGTTGGGTCTGCAAAGAAATTAGGGCAAACTTTGAAAGAAAAGGGGCTTGAGGCGTAAAAAAAAAATTTGGAAAAAAAAAAGGGGGGGGGTCACGGGCGGGTCGGGTTTGCTGGTTATAATGGTGGATCACCAGCCACCTGACTCGAACTCAAGAAAACTAAAAAAATTGGGCCCGCACCCGTCCGCCACGTGTCACGCATCCATTCATTAGGGGTCAGACGGTTCTGTCGGGTCGGTGGATCTGCTGCACAGCCCTAAGCATCACTAGCCTTTTATAGTTGTTCCATAGAATTTTTCTATGAACTTCATTAGTATTCATCAATTGTAATATGCCAAAAGCACTCAATCGTGACCTCCATTTGAGCCAACCTACTATAATTCCACGAATCACATCATTCCAACTTCTCTATTATTATTAATAATTGAACCTAAGTAACAAAAATATTCACCATTTGTTATTTCCTGCTTTTCAATCTTCACTTTTCTGTTAGTTCTACTTCCATTGTTACTAAAGTTACACACCATATATTCATTTTTATTTCTACTATGGAAAAGGATAAGCAACAAAATCATTTGGATTTAAAATGAAAGTTGAGTAACCACTCCAAGCATAACATCTAAGTTATTTAAGTAGTTATAATAATCTAACTATCAACATAACTACTTGCTTCAATAATGCATTCCAAACGACTTAAAAGTTGAACGCCAAAAAAATGATGAAGCAATGTTTGAAAATGAATTTCAACTACACTTCTAAGTTAAGCCTTATTCCCTTTTCAATGTAGAAAACAAAAAGTACAGAAGCCATGAGGATTAAACATAAGCCAATGGTGTAGAATATGAAACAAAAATAACAATAAATTTTATTAGCAAGGAGAGGTAAAAAAATCATATCATGTAAGTACACCCCTTGGGATGCAAATATGCAATGCTAATTATTCCACCATAATAAGCTTCCATTTAGAAATACCACGCACATGTTTTTAGTAATTTTAAGGTCAACAATAGCGATAATTCAATCCATAAGATAAGGTAGCCATATACCTCAGTATGGCTTTATTTTCTTGCAACACTTCAAATGCGGCACAAAAACCTGCAAGAAAAGAAAGTTCGATGAAAGCCTACCTAGGTATAAAATGGTGACAATCAGTGTTTTTAAAGACTCAAGGCGCACTAAGGTGCCGAAGGTCTCTTGGAGGAGTGACTTATTGAGGCATCACAGTTTCACACTAAGTAGAATAAAAAAAAGTTACACTCCTAGATCTCAAGTAGGGGAAGCTTCAACAATGACACTTGGGTTCTTAAGAAATCAAGTCAAAGAAAAGATGCATTATGCATCACAAGCAACTTGGCTGAAGTAATTTTATTGTTGCCTCATTTCTATACTAGGAAAACTACAAGCCTTTATACTGATATGCTCTATGAAGGTACCCATGGTCATGACCAATCAATTGTAATTACCTTTGAACTCAGTGCAAATAAATAAATAATGGCCTTTGAATTTGTTCAACATAGCAAGCCCTGCATAAGAGTTTGGGACTTACTCTCAAGAGGTTCGATGTGAGATTGATATGCAACGATGACAATGGTAATGGAGGTTGAGGTAGTGGTGGTGGTGGAGGGGCGGTGATAGTAGCTATAGTGGTGGGGTGATGATTGTGATGGTGGTTGTGGTGGCAGCGAAGGCGGTGGTAGAAGTGGTGATGGCAGTGGAGGGGTGGTGGCATAATAGTGGTGGTGGTGGTGGTGGTGATGGTGACGATGGTAGGTGTTAGCACCTTCTACTTGAAGGCTGCATGGTTGGCATTGGCAGCACCTTGCACCAATGTCCAACCAAGACCACAGCATGATGGTGGCATGCCAAAGCAGCAAGGTGAAACATTGACAAAGTGTTGAGGCAGCAGCACAGGACCCTTGGCCAAAGTATGGGCAGCAGTGGCACAAATGCAAGGCATTAACATGACCCGAATGTGGGCTGCAGCATACTTGGGGGTTCAAAGCATTCAGTAGGCAAAACTTAGTCTGGGGGCCAAGACAACCAAATTCGTGGCTGACTGAGAAGGCAAACAACATGGGCAGTTTCAAGGCAGTTATGCTTGTCTGGCAGCAGTTACCCATGTTGAGCAAAGACAAGGCAAGTCTGGACATCTAGAATCAAGGCAAGGAATTAGCAGCAGTTACTAGCAGTTATGTTCCAAAAATGATCCTAAGTCCCTAGGCAGTTGGGGGTGTCAACTGCCATGCCACTTGGCATGCTTTCCTTGTAATGCTGGTTGTAAAGTTTGTAACTGATTGTAAGCCTATTTAGGCATAGCCATGGAACTCGAAAATAAACTAAGTGTTGGTAAGAGTTTCCATAGGCATCCTTTGTATTGTTGGTGCAATTAATAAAGGTTGGGAGTTTTCCTATAATCTCTTGTTGCCTATTCTCTTATTTGCTATAACACTTTGTGTGTGTGTGTATCCATAATTGGCTAAGACTAAGTGTCCAACTTAGTGCCATTACAGACTGGAAATTTGAAACAAAAAAATTGACCCTGTAACAATTGGTATCAGAGCACGGTTATGCTCTAATGGTTTCTGGCATGGATGCCTTGAAAGAACAAGTAACACGGTTGGAAAACCTCATTGGCGAACCTGCTGATGAGAACCGCTCGCTGACAGATCGATTGGATGCTGTGGCCTCAGGGTTTCTTGCCCTTGAGACCTCGACAGCAGATCGGTTCAAAGACATGCTGACTGATGTGCTAGCCATTTCGGAGTCCTGGAAAGACAAGTTTCAAGAAGTTGTGGATGAACTGCTCCTTCTGAAGAAGGCTGTCTGTGGGCCTACGAATTCGGAAAAGACTCCTTCGAAAATTAAAGTTCCAGACCCTAAAGCTTTTGGTGGGAATCGAAGTGCCAAGAAACTTGAGAATTTTCTGTGGGACATGGAGCAGTATTTCAGGGCTGCTCATGTGCCGGCTGCTCATGTGCCTGAAGGAGAGAAGGTTACAATCACAAGCATGTACCTTACTGATGATGCTAAACTCTGGTGGCGTACACGTGTCGGGGATAATGCTCGGCCAGAGATCTCAACATGGGAGACTCTAAAGAAGGAAATGAAGGAACAATTCCTTCCTTGCAACACATCTTGGGTTGCAAGAGATGCCCTGAAACGGTTGAAGCATTCCGGATCGGTGAGGGATTATGTGAAAGAATTCAGTTCTTTGATGCTGGACATCAAGAACAAGTCGGAGGAAGATAAACTCTTCAACTTTATGTCTGGGTTGCATAATTGGGCCCAGTTGGAACATCGGAGACTCGGTGTCAAAGATTTGCCCTCTGCCATGGCTGCAGCAGATGGTTTGCTTGACTACAAGTTAAGCAAGGAACCCATTACTAAGACCAGCAAATCCAAGAAGAAAGGAAAAAAGAAGACGGGAGAGAAGAAGTCTGGTTTCAAGAAGGGGAAAGAGGGTTCCAAGTACAAACAGAATGGGGATTCTTCTCAGACCAACGGTGGGAAATCTAACAAAGGGGTGTTTCATCTGTGTTGGACCCCATAGAGCGAAAGATTGTCCGAAGCGTGAGAAACTGAACGCTATGGTCGCGGAAAATGGCAAAGGGGAATCGGATTCTGAGGGGCCGACTAGGGTAAACCCCTTACAATTGCTCAATGCAATTCATGCGGACAAAGCCCCTACGACTGGTCTAATGTACATCAAGGTGGCATTGGCGGGTACCGACATTGCGGCAATGGTAGACACGGGTGCCACGCATAACTTTCTGTCAAAAAAAATTGTGCAGACCTTCGGATTGCAAGTTACCCAAAGCGCCAGTCGAATCAAGGCAGTAAACTCGGCGGCCTAATCGGTGCAAGGAATGGCTTCCAAAGTATCGATCACAGTTGGAGATTGGACTGGACGGGTTAACTTGATGGTGGTTCCTTTGGATGATTTCGATGTCATCTTAGGAAATGACTTCTTTGTGACTGCAAAAGTGGCTTTGATGCCATATTTGGGTGGGATACTTATTTCGGATGAAGACAAGCCTTGCTTTGTCGTTGGTTGCAGTAAATCAGACAAAGGCAAGGGCACAAAGAGGAAGACGGAGACCCTCTCAGCCATTCAAGTGCACAACGGTTTGAAAAAGGGCGCAGAGACTTATCTTGCTGCCTTGGTAGAAATCAAACCTGATCTATCAGTACAAGTGCCGGATGAAGTGGCAGAAGTGTTGAGGGAATTTGAGGATGTGATGCCTCCAGAGTTGCCAAAGTCCCTTCCTCCTCGGCGTGCCACTGATCATAAAATAGAGTTGATTCTGGGTGCTAAGCCTCCAGCAAAGGCACCCTATAGAATGTCCCCAATGGAACTTACAGAGTTGCGAAGGCAATTGACGGACTTATTGGATGCTGGACTGGTTCAGCCATCCAAAGCCCCTTACGGTGCCCCAATGCTTTTTCAAAAAAAGCAAGATGGAAGTTTGCGCATGTGTGTGGATTATCGGGCTCTCAACAAAGTGACGATAAAGAACAAGTATCCAGTCCCTTTGGTGGCAGACCTATTTGATCGATTGTGCAAAGCCACTTACTTCACAAAATTGGATTTACGTGCTGGCTATTGGCAAGTCTGAGTGGCTGAAGGAGATGAGACAAAGACCACATGTGTTACGAGGTATGGGTCTTTTGAGTTCCTAGTAATGCCGTTTGGGTTAACTAATGCCCCGGCTACATTCTGTAATCTTATGAATGATGTGTTCAATGATTATGTTGATCAATTTGTTGTTGTTTATTTGGATGATATTGTAATATATAGTGAGTCCCTAGAGGATCACTTGTCCCATCTTCGGATGGTGTTCACTCGGTTATGAGAACACAAGTTGTATGTCAAGAAGGAAAAATGTGAGTTTGCCCAGCGGGAGATTAAGTTTCTTGGGCATATCATTTGCCAAGGCCATGTCAAAATGGATGGAAGGAAGGTACAGGCTATTATGGAATGGTCTCCACCCACCAATGTTGCGGAGTTGCGGTCCTTCTTAGGCTTGGCAAACTACTATCGGAAATTCATTGAGGGATATTCAAAGAAGGCTGCTCCCCTCACTGATTTGCTGAAGAAATATCACAAATGGCATTGGTCCATTAATTGTGAAGAGGCCTTTGACAAACTGAAAAGTGCAGTGGCAAGTGAACCGGTCTTGCAACTGCCTAGTTTCGAGTTGCCTTTCAAAGTACACACGGATGCCTCAGACAAAGCACTTGGAGGAGTACTGGTGCAGGAAGGACACCCGGTGGCCTTTGAAAGTAGAAAACTAAACGCTGCTGAGAAGAATTATTCAGCCCATGAGAAGGAAATGACGGCAGTAGTGCATTGCCTACTCACCTGGAGGGTCTATCTGTTGGGATAGAAGTTTTTGGTTCTTACTGATAATGTGGCTAATACATTCTTCAAAACTCATAAAAAGTTGTCTCCAACGCAGGCCCGTTGGCAGGAATTCCTTGAAGAGTATGACTTTGAATGGCGACACAAGCTTGGACGACATAACCTAGTCGCTGATGCCTTAAGCTGGAAAGAGAACGGCAGTAGTGCATTGCCTACTCACCTGGAGGGTCTATCTGTTGGGATAGAAGTTTTTGGTTCTTACTGATAATGTGGCTAATACATTCTTCAAAACTCATAAAAAGTTGTCTCCAACGCAGGCCCGTTGGCAGGAATTCCTTGAAGAGTATGACTTGAATGGCGACACAAGCCTGGACGACATAACCTAGTCGCTGATGCCTTGAGCCGGAAAGAGATAATTGAATATGTGGCTGCTATCTCCAACATTGAATCACAGTTGCTGGAAAGGATCAGGGATAGTGTTGCCATTGACTCAGAATATCAACGGTTGGTACAACAAGTAAAGGATGGAATTGCTCGTCGGTATTGGCTTGAAGATGGTCTTCTCCATGACAAAGGAGATAGGCTATATGTCCCAAGTGTTGGGGGGCTACGAATGGAAACCCACAGTGGGCTGGTCATTCGAGGCAACAACGCATGCTGGCTCTTTTGTCGCGTTCATATGTTTGGCCAAAAATGGAAGAAGACGTAGAGGCCTATGTCAAAACATGCATGGTGTGCCAATTGGACAAGACCGAAATAAAGAAGGCAGCTGGTTTATTACAACCACTACCTGTCCCTGAGAAGCCTTGGGTTTCCACATCCATGGACTTTATCTCCGGATTTCCCAAAGTCAATGGGATGCGCTCCATCATGGTAATTGTTGACCGTTTCTCTAAGTATGCTGTTTTTATCCCTGCTCCTCATGCTTGTCCCGCAGATGTTGCTGCTGATTTATTTTGTAAGTATGTTGTAAAATACTTTGGCTTGCCTGAGGACATAATAAGCGACAGGGATACCCGGTTTACGAGAAGGTTTAGGACTGTGCTCTTTAATTTGCTGGGTTCCGAATTAAAGTTCTCCACAGCAACTCACCCTCAGACGGATGGTCAGACCGAGAGGATGAATGGATTGCTGGAGGAGTATCTCCGACATTATGTGACCGCAAATCAAAAGAACTGGGTCGAATTGTTGGACAGCGCACAATTTTGCTACAATATGCATAGATCATCTGCAATCGGGATGAGCCCGTTTGAATTGGCCACGGGGCAGCAACCCCTAACTCCTCACGAAGTGGCTAAAACAGGCTCTGGTGGTAGATGTCCAGCAGCATACCGCTTTACAAGGACCAAACAAGAATTGCCGGAAGAAGCACAAGACAGTTTGGCCAAAGCAAGCAAACGAATGAAGAAGTATGCTGACAAAGGGCGAAGACCCTTAGAGTTCAAAGTGGGTGACAAAGTGCTACTGAAGCTTACTCCACAGATCTGGAAGAAGATAAGCAGTAAGTGCACCGTGGCTTAATTTTGAAATATGATGGCCCCTTTGAAATCTTAAAATGTTGCATACAGGCTAGTGCTGCCTGATCGGTTGAAAATCCACCCAACTTTCCATGTCAGTTTTTTGAAACCATTTCATGAGGATCAAACAAACTTGACAAGGAAACAAGCTCGGAGAGCACCCCCGGTGATCAGAAAACAGTTTGACAAGGAAGTGGAACAGATTCTTGATCACAAGACCGAGGGTCAAAGCAAAAAGAATCGAAGGACCCATTACTTGGTAAAGTGGAAGGGTTCCTCAGAATCAGATGCAAGTTGGGAAAAGGATGTCACATTGTGGCAATTTGAAAAATAGGTCAAGGAGTACTTGAAGACCCTACCAACGAGGACGTTGGCTTCTTTTGGTGGGGGTGGTTTGTTAGCACCTTTTACTTGAAGGCTGCATGGTTGGCATTGGCAGCACCTTGCACCAATGTCCAACCAAGACCACGGCATGATGGTGGCATGCCAAAGCAGCAAGGTGAAACATTGACAAAGTGCTGAGGCAGTAGCACAGGACCCTTGGCCAAAGTATGCGCAGCAGTGGCACATATGCAAGGCATTAACATGACCCGAATGTGGGCTACAGCATACTTGGGGGTTCAAAGCATTCAGTAGGCAAAACTTGGTCTGGGGGCCAAGACAACCAAATTCATGGCTGACTGAGAAGGCAAACAACATGGGCAGTTTCAAGGTAGTTATGCTTGTTTGGCAGCAGTTACCCATGTTGAGCAAAGACAAGGCAAGTCTGGACATCTGGAATCAAGGCATGGAGTTAGCAGCAGTTACTAGCAGTTATGTTCCAGAAATGATCCTAAGTCCCTTGGCAGTTGGGGGTGTCAACTGCCATGCCACTTGGCATGCTTTCCTTGTAATGCTGGTTGTAAAGTTTGTAACTGATTGTAAGCCTATTTAGGCATAGCCATGGAACTCGAAAATGAACTAAGTGTTGGTAAGAGCTATGAAGCATAGACACGGCAAAATCAACGCCATGGCGATGTCAGACACGGGGACAAGCCAGGGACACGGGGACACGTCGGGGACACGTACGGGACACTCCATCTGCCGTGTCCCTTTAATTTAATTGTTTTTCTTGTAGGGGACACGCGTGTCCAGATCTGGACACGGCGAGAGACACGGCAAGGAGGGAGAAACGAAGGAGAGAGTGTGAAGGAAGAGAGTGAAGAGAGACAAACTTGTCGAAGATCGAAGATCGAAGGTCGAAGCTCCATGAATCCGGTCGAAGATCGAAGATCGAAGCTCCAAGCTCCAAGCTCCATCAGAAGGTCGAAGCTCCAAGCCCCAGACGATCGCGATCTGTCTCTCTCTCTCGCCTTCACAATCTGTCTCTCTCTCTCTCTCGATCGCGATCGCGACCTTGACCTGGACCTATCTCCCTCTCTCTCTCTCCTTCTCTCCCTCCCTTGCTTCTAACGTATGAGGGTTTAGTTATTATATAATAACTATTATTATTATGTCTGATCAAATATATACTCATACATATTAATAAAAAAAATAAACACATGTATGTAAAATAAAATAAAAAAATTAATTATTTAAAAAATATAATAAATAAATAAAATAATTAATGTGTATTAAAATAAAAATATTTATTAAAAAATTAAAAAATTTGCCGTGTCCCCTGCCGTGTCCGTGTCCCTATTTTTTAGAAATTGCTGTGTCCTGTGTCCATGTCTGTGTCCGTATGCGTGTCCGTGTCCGTGCTTCATAGGGTAAGAGTTTCCATAGGCATCCTTTGTATTGTTGGTGCAATTAATAAAAGTTGAGAGTTTTCCTGTAATCTCTTGTTGCCTATTCTCTTACTTGCTATAACACTTTGTGTGTGTGTGTGTATTCATAATTGGCTGAGACTAAGTGTCCAACTTAGTGGCATTACAGGCTGGAAATTTGAAACAAAAAAATTGACCTTGTAACAGACTAAGTGTCCAACTTAGTGGCATTACAGGCTGGAAATTTGAAACAAAAAAATTGACCTTGTAACAGTAGGAGTGGTGGTGATGGTGATGGTGATGGTGATGGTGATGGCGGCGGCAATAAGGTTAGTTTTCCTGTAATCTCTTGTTGCCTATTCTCTTACTTGCTATAACACTTTGTGTGTGTGTGTGTGTATTCATAATTGGCTGAGACTAAGTGTCCAACTTAGTGGCATTACAGGCTGGAAATTTGAAACAAAAAAATTGACCTTGTAACAGTGGTGATGGTGATGGTGATAGTGATGGCGGCGGCAATAAGGTTATAACTATGTATGTCGACCCATATGCACAAGTATTTATAAATTTAATAAAAAATTAAGTAGGTTTTCTTTCAGTTAATTTATTTGTTTATTTAATTTTTAGCCTATATTTTAAGAATCAGGGGTGCTCGTAGATCTGCTTGGGTCAGATGGCCTCCCATCTGCCATCCATGCAAACTTAGGCGGATTGAAAAAAATCAATCCGCATATGTTCGCTTAGTGAGAGGATGCAGATTGAAGAGGCCGTGTGGATTAATAGTTGGATGAGGATTAGTTTGGCGGTTTGGACTTTATTATTTTAGACCTTTTTTCAGACTATTTTCTAGTAGTTTTTTATTGTTTTGGGCCTTAATTGGGTCCAAATTTTTTTATTCTTCCTTTTTTATAATAAAAATAAAGTCCAAACTTTCATATTTCATAAATAGCTATAATTACTGGTTAATAAAAGACTATTTTTTTAAAAACGCAAAGCATAAAGTATAGCATCACCTTCTAAAATATGCTAAAAACAAAAAATAACAAACAAATTTTCATGTTTTAAAATAAATAAAAAGACACAATTGATAATTGTTAAATACCAATAATAAATAAATATAAGAAAATTTTAATAATTGTTAAATGATGAGAAAATTTAATATTTCTCTTGGTTAATGTATTTGTTAGTAATTTTGTAGTGTTTCTATCTAATATGACTGTATATTTGTTCCAATAAAAAGACTTGAGTCACATTTTATATTAAATTTGACATAAAATTTAACAAAGTTATAATTAAGTAATGGATTCAACTATTAAATGGAATCGAAATTTTAAAAGATCTAGCCAAATAGAACAAATACATAGAACAAATTTTCAAACACCACAAAAATAGAAATATATAAAAAAATTATATTTAACTGTCATTTTGACACAACAGAAATATATAGAACAACATACTGATAATCTGAAAATCTACAATACAAACCAATCAAACAAGCAAAATAGATCTGAAAAGATGGAATAAATATCACCTCCTTTTGCCCAAAAAAACCCCAAATCAATAAATAAAATCAACAAAAATTGAATTAGAAAATAGTATGATATTTGGAATGAAAACCAAGGGCTGATTTCAACAAAACTCAGAACATTAGAGTAGAAGAAGAGAAGAAGAGAAAAGAAGAATATACCTCAGTCGCCGCCGCCGCCGCCGCCGCCGCCGCTCGCCGCCGGTCGAAGGATGGAGACAGTGCCGGCCGATCGAGGGATACGCAGACTAAGGTCACGGTTTGGGCAGAGAGAGAGAGAGAGAAAAGTGAGAATATGGTTTGGGAATCTCAAAAGTTAAATAAATGGATGCTTTGTGTCGGGATTTAGCCCCCGTTTGGTAGAGTTTAAAATTAACTTAGTTCAACTTTTGACTTAAATAAGTAATTTTTGAGTGTTTGATCTAATTTAAATGATCAATTTTTAGCTTGAATTAAGTCAAAAAAATGATTATTTTTTGAGCCGGGGAGGAGATGCTTTTCTGAAATAGCTTAAGCGGGAAGCTAGAATTGAGGGACAAAATGACTTAAATGCCCCTCATCAATCTCAAATATTACCAAATGACCACTATATAAACTACAATGAAAAATACTATTCACTCCTCTTAAAGACTGATTGGCAATTTCCGGTGCGTGGAGGCGATTTTCGGCGGTGCTCTCTCTCTCTCTCTCGATGAAGATGAAGATAAAGATCTCGATGTGCTTGTCAGTCAACCACTCAATCGATCTCCGAAAATCTAAATTTGTGTTTGTCAGTCAACTGCTCAATTAATCATCCGGATGACCGTGCAATACTTGTCTACTTCGGTTGTCATCTTTATTGATCACGGTTGTCACTTTCTTGCAAGATAACCAACCGAACAACCAAGAAGTCAAAATTTGAACGATTCAGGCAAACTCAAATTCGAACTTCCAATCAATGCTAAAAAATAAGAGAATGAGAGAGGGGTACAAGCACGTTGGGTCTATGTAGTTTGGTGGCGGTTGATCCACTACCCAACCCACACCCATTAAACTCACATTTTTTTACCTACATTTGTTCGCCCATTATTACACATCCGCCCAAAACTCATCGTTAGGTCAGGTCGGGCGGTTTGACGAATCGGCAAATTCGTTGAGCACCCCTAGTTTGGACCCAAAAATTTTATTTATACACTATACAAACTATCAGTACACACTATAAATGATGTTTGAATATAAATTTTTGAACAAAAGTCAATGTTCAAATTTAAAATTATGAAGAAAAATAAATTATTCAAATATATATTTGGTTCAATTATTTATACAATACTGTTATGCACATAGAGGACCAAACACAGAACCAAACATAGAAACTGTACACCTGGATGATTGGGTGGTTGATCGACCAGAGCTTGTTGACCGCGACTATCATCTTGTCAACCGCGATTGTCATCTTGTCGACCACAGCCAGAGCTTGTCAACCGTGGCTATCATCTTGTCAATAGCAGTTGTCATCTCGTCAATTGCAACTATCATCTTATCATCCGGTTGACCACCCCATCATCTGAGTGGTCATCCGGATGAACAATTTTGTATTTGGTTCTATATTTGGTCCTGTTTGTGCGTAGCATTATTGTTATTTATATCGAAACAATTGTTTTATGTTCATAAAGTTATATTTGAACATTTGACTGTTGTTCAAAAAAATTTATATCCAGGCTTTGATAGAGACCCCCTCCAATCACCACCCCCCCCCCCACACACGTGGTGGGTGGTGATTGGAAAAAAAAAATCTGACCAATCAAAAAGAGAGGGAGTCAAGGGGGTGGGGAAAAAAAAGGGGTTCAGATCTTTTTCCTTTATATCCAAACACCATTTGTGATGTGTACTTAGAATTTGTATGGTCTGCAAATAGAATTACTCTTGAACCCTACATCATTTATTTATTTTTTTTACAATTTTATCCTGATACAAAATTTCAGTTTTGTCCCTAAACTTCTCTGTTCAAAATCCTAGCCCTTAGACATTACTATTCCAACCAGCGCACTCTAGCAATTCTCCTCAACTTATTCCCATTGCCTTTCACCACTACCCATCCTTTCTCAACCTCCCTTTGTCCTTTTTCCACCACTTCACCACCCATTAGCTTATCATTACTCATAACCGTTATAGCCAAGCTACATCATATCTCTTTCTCTTAGCCGATCAATCATCGATTGCAATTGAGATACGCTGTTTCTTTCTTTTTGCAACTAGGGTTTCATATGGCGTGGATTATAATGCGTTGTTCGAAAAGGAATACAAATAGAGATATCAAAGTTGTAACACTTGGTTTGGAAAACAAATGTCGAACAAAGAGTGTTATTTCGAACATATATCTCCGAATAAATATTGGTGGTTCGGTCATAGATTGTCAAACTAGATCTGTGCAATGCAGACCACCAAATAGTAGTTCAGTCATATGCCATCGAACAAATGGTAGTGGTTCGATCATAAACTGTCAAACCAGATCTAAGTAGATTGCAAAAGGAGGTGGTAATTGTGAATGGAGGGTTTGGAAGAGCCACCAGAGAAGTGACTTGGGTGGCCATGAGTTTCGAAGGAGATGGTGTGGCAGGAAAAAGTGGTGGAGGGTTGGTGTGGGCAGCCGGAGCTAGTGTAGATGGTGGGGAAGGAGAGTTGCTAGTGGAAAGCTTGTGGTAATGGTAGGGGTTCAACGAGAGGGGCACTTTTGAGATTATGGTGGAGGTCCCAAAAAAAAAAAGGTATTGACCACCAAAAGAGAAGTGAAAAAAAAAAACCTATGTTCATTCATCACCATATTGCAGATATGACTTTGATTATTATATTATCCCATATAATCATCTCATAAAACAAATCAGTAACAAAGCTCCAAAAAAAACAAAAAAACAAAAAAAAAAATCTCAAATTGGTCTCCTGTGTGGCATAATTATCTCATCAACAATATATTTGGCAAAAATATTTGCAAAGGTTAACAAAAGAGGGAAAGGGGGTTCAACGGCCTTGGAGATCGGTGCTCATGTGAAAAGAGGAAGACGACATATATAGATCTGAAAAGAGGGACCACAGAAAGGGTTGAGAAAAAGAGAGATGTAGAGAAGAGAGAGAGAGAGAGAGAGAGAGAGAGTAAGAGGGGTTGAGAGAGAGGGAGATGGGATAGTGGGGTTGTGTAAGATATATATATATATATACATACATTCATACACACATATATATATGGGTGTCACGTCCCAAACTCGACCCTAAAGGTTAGTGAGGTAACCGGCCAGTAATTTTAGATTACCAAAGGCTTATCTTGACAAAATACAAAATATTTAATAGAATAATGGGGTGACAAGCGAAAGCCTTTTTTTTTTTTTTAAACACCAATTAATTAGAAAATAAACCTGTCCATTCAGCAGTGCGTAACTAACATGGAAATATTACATATACATATTATTGTTACATTACCCACATAATTAAATCAAATACAAACATTCACAATTTCATAGTGTTGACTCTTCAAAACTTTTCCCAAAATGAGGTAAACAATAGACTTAGTTCAAGCGACAACTCTCATAAGGCTTTCTCAAAGGTCTTCAAATACAACTCTAAGGTTGCTCTTCATGTTGCTTACCTGAGCTAAAGTCCAATGAGTAATACCAAGGTAAAGTGGTAATGAATGAATTCCAAACATTTGTAAAAGATCTATTCCAATTCACAATTCCAAAAGCATTTGAACATTTCATAAGATATGCTCAAAATTGTGATAACATGGTACATCTAATAAAGTAACACATCCAACCATACATGGTTGTCTTAAAGAGATCTCGACAAATGGCATGGCGCATAGATAAATGCCCTTCAATGGCTCGGACTCACTAAAGGATGCCACTATTAGATTCCTCGCAACATGGAACATTCATTGATTCATATAAAATAAGATTTCAGAAAACATCATTCTCAAAGCATTTCCAAAATATATTTTCGAACATAACTTTACAAAGATATTACTCATAGTGGGTTTGACTCCAATAAATCTCCTCGTATGACCAACCTACATAACACATACATACAAAGTCGATAAAACAAAAGTATCTAATTTACTTTAACTTCATTCATTCAATCAGTTTAATTAAAGTTGGTTTCTAAATATATTTTATTTTCTAGTTAGTCTTAATACATATGTAAAGGTGTCTAAAGGGTCAAAAAGGTTGAAATGAGATCCAAATACACATCCCTGTTTTTCGTATGTGCGGGAGTTCCAGCTACATGTGCGGTTATTTTAGAATTGAGAGCCTTGTTTTAGGGTGTTGGCCACACGTACGGGGCTCACAGCCGCATGTGCGATTTTCGGAATTTTATGATGTTCGAAAAATTCTTCAATGCTCAAAGCTTCATCTACTAAAATTTTTACCAAAACTCATACTACACCCATCCAAAATTATATAAATTCATCATTATACAAGAAAATATGATTAATCTTCAACTCATTCGCATCAAAACTTCATTTAATTTGTCAAAATTAGAATCAAACTTCATGTTTCCCAAAACCTTATTCTTCTTTCTTCAAAACAAAAGCTCAAACCTTCAAAACTTGTAAAAATCAATGATGTCTATGCAATTGAAACTTAAATTTATGTAGGACAACAAGAATCCAACCCAAAATGATTATTTCCCAAATTAATTCCTTGATTCCACATCCTATTCCAAAATTTTCATCCTTTCATTATCTCTTTCTAATTATAGAAATTAATTTCAAACTCTTTTCTCTCTCTTCAAAATCTAAAATTGAGGTTATAAAATTCCTACAAAAATATTTACATGTACGTAATTAAAATTAAAACTAACTAATTTTGTATGTTCCAAAATCAAATCATAATTAAATTCTCAATTTAAATCTTAATTTGCCCCAACTTTCATAAGAGTCCAGTTTGAATTGACTTTTATTCAGACAGGCCTTCGGTAGTTAGGAACTACTAGCGGCTCACTTCACCATCCTGTTTGAGATGGGTTGGGGTCGTGACGATGGGTGATTCTATTTACACACCACTAATACTTTCAGTACACACCATTATTTAGGTCATATACAAAATAATTTTTAGGGTTTAAAAATATCTTAGTTCACGCATTAACTTTTCATTACTAACCCTACATTAACACACCACTAACTATTTGAATACACACCAATACACACATCAAAAACTCTTCATCTTTACCACTACACACAACAAAAACCCCTCACAATTTTCAAAACAAAGACCATCTTCGTTAGTCTTGATCTCTATCGCCGACGAAAGTTTCATTCTGCTTTCATCTTCACCGATGTTGACCTTTGTAGTTG